CAGGCTCTGTCAGACCAGTAAACCTGGTCCCTTTTTTTTTTTTAAATGATTTTGAGTTTTGTTCCACAGTGTTCTCCCACTCTATTCAGGATCTCCTACATAGAGCCCCCTCTGACTGATTGACAGTGGTAGCCAGGTACCATCTAGTTGTGGTCTCATAGTCATATAGGCTGAGGCTCTCATGGTGTACCAGTCCCTTGGACTAATTGTTTCCATGTGCCTTTGGTTTTCTTCATTCTTCTTTGCTCTGGACAAGGAGAGACTCATTGTTGCATCCAAATGACTGCTTGCAAGCTTCTAAGATCTCAGTCGCTACTCACCAAGTAGGATTTGGAACAATGTTTTTGTGTAGTATGTTATGCCAATGGAGCTTGATGTCCCCCACAACCATGGTCCCAAGCCCACAGGTCCAACTACTTGCTCCCTTTGGGTACTTGGCTATGGCCAAATAGTGACTACAACCTTGTCCCTTGTCAGCTCTGCTATATACCTGGGAATTCTTACAGAACATACAAATACCCTTGTAGAAACACTGTCTGCCAACCCTATACATGGTCATAGGCACATTCCCCCCCTGCACAGACATACCTGATCATTCAACCTGTCCACCCATCTAGCCACCCACAGATCAATGTTTGTCTTCACTGACAATGCAGTACTGTACATGCAAAAGGGTTCACCTTTGTTTTCTGTACCTCCCAGGCACCTATCTGTAGAAGACTGAGCTTTCGTCTTAGATGGGTTGCTGAACAGCTATGTGACATCGAGCAAATCACATCTGCTCTCTGGGCCTCAGTGTACTCAGCTATAAATGTGGAGTGGGCTAAGGAGTGGCTTCCAACCTGTCCTCCATACGAAGTTCCAGGAGTCCCCAGAGACCCACTCAGTGCCAACAAGTGTGTTTGCTGGGAGATGCCAGCAAATAGTACCATTTAAGACTACTGGAAAAGCCTACCTGGTATTAGCCTATGGCTCAGTGTTAGGTTACATCCAGATGCCCACCTGGTCAGCCCTCCCACCTCCACAGCCTCATTCACTCTGCTCTACCACACTGGCCGCCCTTCTGTCCTTGGAAGGTGGCCATCTCCTTCCTGCCTCAGGGTCTTTGCACTTGCTGTTTCCTTTGGCTACAGCCCCAGCCCCAGATCCCAGGAGGGCTGACTCTCCCCTTCTTCTCATTCAGTCTCAATTTAAATGTTACCTCCTCAAAAGGCCCCCAATTCAGGTGATCCCTACTTCCCCTCCTACTCAAATCCTGTGTGCCACGGTCATCACCGACTAACTCTGGCTTGCTCGCCAGACAATTCGCTCTCCTCTGAGAGCAGAGAGCTGCCTATTCATTGTTGCATTCCTAGTTCCCAGGACAGTGCCTGACACATAATAGATATTTGCAAAATCAACTAACAAATTAATAAACTTAACATTCTTTAGGTTGGTAGTGGGAAATCCTCACCTGACATGATCCCCATTTCCAAGAAGAAACTGATACCAAATCACCCCAGTGTCAGTTCTAGATTTTAAAGCACCATTTTGATCAATGGGTTGCCTGCAATATAGTCTCCCTGCCTCTATTGCTAACTGCATCCTGGAAGCTAGAAATGTTTACAGAGTTATTAGATTCTATGTTCCATTAAAAATATATTCTATCCAGCAGAAGAGAAGCTATCAGATCTTTGAGAATGAATTGTGTTTTATACCCATGAACACTTGGTTGCCCAAAATAGAGACCAGATGAGTTACAAGAAACAAGAAAATGACTTCCATTTAATTTTTTAATACTATTTTTAGTAGTAGCATAGACGCCTCAGGTAGTTGGACAATTACTAAATTACACTGGTCACTGTGGGGACACACAGTGCTCTGACTTCCTGCTCTGCTAACCTTTGGTGTCAAGAGGACGTGAGTTTCACTTCCAGGTCAAAGGGCACTGCATGGTAACAATAATTAGAGTAATGAATCAGAACTACAGTTTCAATGAATCATTATGTGCCAAGTGCTTTTAATTACAAAGAATTTAACTCTAAAATTATGAAGGGGACTAGAGGTTTACAGAAAGGCTCTCTCTACCAGGTAGTCCAAATCAAGACAAATTTTTGTTGTTGTTGTTGAACTCTGTGATTTATGTTTGAGCTAAGGATGTGTGTCTTTGTTTTTAAGCCCCATACCTCAGCACCTGGACCAAATTATTACTTAACATTAGAGCCAATAACAAGACCCCTGACAAAGTAATTGCTTTGGCTGGTAAGCTTTAGTTAATGCTGGGTTAGAATAAAATGCCATAGGCTGAATTTAGGGCATCCTCGACAAACCTGTACACATTGTAAGCCATCTAATTTCATGTCGACAAAAGTCGAAGACTTCCACTAATATTTCAAGTGCAGGACAACCCACAGCTTCTGGTTTTGTGTTCCAGGTGAAACAACTTTTGAGCAAGGCAAAAAGGCAACACTAAAGAAATACCCACCACTCATCTGTCAGGCTACCTACATCATGTGATGGCTTGCATGCTACTATGATGCTGGAAGCTGTATCACCAGGATTTCAAATACCAACAGAGCCATTCATGGGTGGCCAGGTTTCAGCAGTTTCCAGACTAAGACAGACTAGGAAGAAAGGTCTGGCTATCGCCTTCCAGAAATTCGTCATTGAAAACTCTGAGGATCACGACAGAATACTGTCCGTACAGTGCCAGAAGATGAGCTAACCAGGTTGAAAAGCACTCAAAACACACGTGGCTGGGACAATGGACTCAAATGGGCCAAGAATCATAACAGTGACACAAGACCGGACAATGTTGTGCGTGGGATCACCGTGAGTCAGAGATGACATAATGGCAACTAACAACAACAGAGAAAGCCAGAGAGGCAGATTTTCACAAAGACCATCGGGTAAGGAATCCGAAGATGTTGGGGAGAGCCCAGCCAACGTCACAGACGACTGCTTTGATGTCTCTGCATTCAATTACTTTGCTCTTAAATTAATATTTGGTCCACTTTTCTACTGAGATGCTTTGGGAGGAGAATCATAACCACTGGTGCTGAAACTCTCCCTTTTAATTTTCCAATGAAGGAGCCCTCCATGAGCCAAATTCTGATCTGCGGATACCAACAAGGCAGATAATTATGGGGCCCAGAATCGGGCGGTGCCCAGCGTCAGTCCCCCTCTTCAAACATCCTCACATTCCCCATACGGAAGAGTTTCACATTATACAGTGTTTATCTCTGGCCTCCTCCCATAGGCCCTTTAACCTACACACATTTCTTCTTACTTAAAAAATACCAGGGGGAAAACAAAAACAGATGTGGTATCCACAGAAGCTGGTTGCAAGCCTTTTGCCCGAGGGACAAAACCACTGCTTCTCTTATAGAGGGAAAACAAAATAGCTCCTCACAAGGTCAGGAGAGATTTCCTAACCAAACGCAAGTCAGAGTGGGGGACGAACGAAGATCTCCACACACGAAGGCCCCCAGATCCCGTGCCCTGTGAGATACTGCAGTCACCCAGCAGCACCGCAGCCGAGAAATGTGAAGGTGAGGC